CCTGCGAGCTCCCACCACCTCCAAGTTCCCCTCCAAGGGGATATGCCACTCAGCCTTGCTGCTTCTGGGTTCATCTCCTTCCATGTTCCCTCTCTTGCCTCCTGACACTGCCAACTAAACGCCTTATTCAGAGCTTTCCCTGGTCTTCACCTCAATGCCTTCTGCCACCCTGTGTCCCCAGACCTTTTCTGATGGAGGAACACACAGAACATACCATTACTTAATAAGTGATGATGATTCTGCAAGGGCTGGAGCCCCTCTGCTGGGAGGACAGGCTGAGTTTGGGGGGTTCAGCTTGGAGAAGTGAAGGCTCCAGGGAGACCTTGGAGCCCCTTCCAGTCCCTCAAGGGGCTCCAGGAGAGCTGGGGAAGGACTCTTGATGAGGGAGGGGAGCCATAGGAGGAGGGCGAAGGGTTTTAAGCTGAAAGAGGGGAGATGGAGATGAGATCTGGGGAAGAACTTCTTTGCTGTGAGGGTGGTGAGAGCCTGGCCCAGGTTACCCAGAGAAGCTGTGGCTGCCCCATCCCTGGAGGGGTTCAAGGGCAGGTTGGAGGGGGCTTGGAGCAACCTGGTCTGGTGGGAGGTGTCCCTGCCCAGGGCAGGGGGGTGGAACTTGATGATCTTTAAGGTCCCTTCCAACCCAAACCATTCTATGATTCTAAGTAGGGAAGGGTTGGTCTCTTTGCACATGTGCTTGATGCTGAAGACCCTCTGCTCCTTAGCCAAACTCCGAGGTGCACAGGGTCTGGAGCTGCTTTACCAGCAGTTCCCCGTGGCCGACAACAGCCCTTCTAGAAGTGATCTCAATGTCCACAGAGCCCTGCCACCTTGACCTCACCACAAACTAGGTAATAGCATGCTTCAGTCTAGCATCGGTTATCAAGCACTGGACCAGGCTGCCCAGGGAAGTGGTGGAGTCACCATCCCTGGAGGTATTTAAGATATGTAGATGTGGCACTTAGGAACGCGACTTAGTGGTGGACTTGGGGGTGTTAGGTTTATGGTTGGACTTGATGATCTTAAAGGCCTTTTTTCCAACGTAAACGATTCTATTTCACTGCTGAACACAATTTGAATGGTTACAGCCACAGATCAAGCAGGGCTAGAAGGCATCTCACTATTCAATTTATCTCTTGCAAACGGGAGTCACCCCTCGGGGACCTGCTCTGGCTTCTGAGCACCCTGTGAACGTTACGCAAACCAGCACAAAGTCCACCTGCCTCAACAGGTTGGCTAAAGTCAACATTTCAGCTCCATCCAACAACCCTCACACAAATAAGAAAATATTGACATGATAAATAGCAAACCCGACCTCTTGGCTTCCAGCACCGGTGGCACCACAGGGATTGCTCCTATAAGGAACGTGTTGCCTTGGCAGAGCTGACCAGCCCCAGCCCTCAGCGTCACGTGCACTGAGTTGTGCCAGGACATTGACTTCTTCCTGGCAGGGCCACTGCTCCCCGAATGTCAAAAATAACTGGAATTTCCCCATGGCTGATAATCCTTTCTGGTTTGGTACCTTTGTCATGGAGGAATGTTATTAGTCACTATGAAAGCTTTGAAGTAGCTGACTTTTTTGAGGCCATCTGCTTACCTTCTCCTTGTCTGCACCTGAAGCAAACAGGGGAGAAAAAAAAAATAAAAATCTTTCATTTGTTGGTTCCTGGAAACATACACCTCTCTGTGCCTGTGGGGACAGCCTGACCTGTTGTGCAAAGACAGCCTGATTTACAGCCCTGGCAAACCGGGAAGGCAGGGTAAAGGACAGGAGCAGCAGATCCAGGGAACGGCCACGAGCAACTGGATCTCTAGGTCCCTTATCCCAGTTTCTCTCTTTTTGCCATTCAGACTCTCCCAGATTCAGCACTTGGACATGTATTAACATCTGAGTACCTGAAAGCACCTCATTGTGCACAACGCTCAACTCCATCAGAGGTAGAAAATGTCCCTTTTCTCTTCCAAACCCAAACTCCTTTGCAGCCCAGGTTAAGATGCCTCAGTTGGGACCAGCAGACCTTCATCCCTCCCAACCATGGATAGATGCACAAATGGTCAGAGCCCCTCCTACAGGCAGACCAAGTACACCAGGCACACACACACACCACTTATCACTCCTACTAGAGCTCTAGACAGAAGCTGTCCTAAATGGCGTGGCCCAAATATCTACCTCATGGTGGAAATTAATCATCTCCCAGTTGGACAGACAGGGAAAGTGAAGCTCCAAGATGGGTGGCTGAAAGATACCACCCAGGATAATCTACACTAGAACTGGTGCAGGAAAAAAACCATGGGAAGATCTCTGGTCCCTTTTGCTGGAACTGTCAGACTTTTCGTGTTTTGGTGCCAAGCCAAAATGCCTCCCATCTATACATCTACAGCACTATCATAGAACATCGTTACTCAAATTGGCCAAGTCTCTGCATGAATTGTCACAGGGATAACTGAGGAACCACTGTCCTTTACAGCACACCCTTCTCTGGTCCTACGGTTACTAGGGCATCTCCAGGGCAGGTACAAGAGGACCAGAGGACTCAGTGACTCTGTTGAAAGGACACAGAGGGGGTCTGGCAATTGGACTATGCTTTACTGCTGAGAGGGAAAACAGTAGGAAAACGGAATGGAAGAGGTGGGCAGATGGGGATAAGGGGCAGGGCTGATGTCTTCTCGGACCACAGAAGCTTAGGAGCCAACCTCATGGCTCAGCTCCCAGCCACGGGAAAGCTTCTGAACAACTATCTCTACTGACTCTAGGGAGGACATTACACCTAGAGACCCAGACAGCAAAACATTCAGTCTCTCACCACTGCTTTGCAATGTTCCTCTGGCTTAACCAAGAACCCCTAAAAGAAATCCAAGCCCTTCCTTTCCTTTCCACATCATGGACTTGACTATCCCGTTGCCTAAGTAAAACAGCACCCATCTAACACCAATTCTCCTCGCCAACAGTGGAGGAAGGCTTTACAGAATCACAGAATCTTCTAGGTTGGAAGGGACCTTAAAGATCATCTTGTCCAACTGTCAACCTAACTGACAAAAATAGACACCCACACAACAAACAAGAAGCATCACCATCACTAAACCATACCTCCCAGCACTACATCAACCCGTCTTTTGAACACCTCCAGGGATGGGGCCTCAACCACCTCCCTGGGCAGCCCATTCCAATGGCTGAGAACACTTTCAGTGAAAAAATTTTTCCTAATATCCAGCCTGAACCTCCCCTGGGGCAACTTGAGGCCATTTCCTCTTGTCCTGTCGCCTGTGACTTGAGAAAAGAGACCGGCCCCCACCTCTCTACACCCTCCTTTCAGGTAGTTGTAGAAAGCAATAAGGTCTCCCCTCAGCCTCCTCTTCTCCAGGCTGAACAACCCCAGTTCCCTCAGCCTCTCCTCATAAGACTTATTCTCCAGACCCCTCACCAGCTTTGTCGCCCTTAAATACACCTGAGAAGAGGCTGCAGAAGACAGGTCAGAAGGTCTGATGCCTTCAGAGGGAGAAGCAAGGATCTGGAGAAGCTCCATTCTCACAGGGTGGACAGTCCCTGCCTGGTCTGCCTGTGCCATCTTGTGGCTGCCTGACTCTGCTGCACAGGATGGGACCAAACCTCTGGAGAAAAAGAGGAGAAACTGCTCTCCCTTGCAAAGAACGACGGTTCTTGTATTACTTTTTAATACAGACTCCATAGGATCCTAAAAAAAAAATAAAATAAAAATTGATATCCCCCTCTAGAGACAGCTCTCAATGAAAAATTTAGCTGCTTAACACAGGACAGCTCAGGAGCCAAAAAGCACAGAGCACAGCCCACTCTGGACCCACCAGGGAAGGGATGTGCAGACAGAACTTTGAGTTTGGCAGGAAGAGGACAATCCTTCTAATTAATCCATCATATCCGCTGTCGGCCCTGGAAGCTGCCTCCTCAAAAGCCCCATCCATCCAGGGGAATCTGTTCTGCTCTCCTGGCAGCTCATACCCCTGCTCTGCTCCAGCACTGGCAGTGAGGGCAGAAGAAGGACAGACAGACACCACCAGCTCTGTTCCTGCTTTGCGATTGCCAGTTGGTTTCCTTCTCCATGCCCAGACAACTTGTCCTATAAAACAGTAACACCGTTTGAAAAAACAGTAACATCATTTTAGGAAAAAGACATGGGACCTTTGGGTTACCATCGCTGGTATCTGTTGAGGTTTCTCCACATCCCAGAGGTGGCAGCCCCTTCCTCTGGACACTTGTTGAAACGGAGCTGCCTCCAGCATCCTTCTCTCTCCCTCCCATGATGTCAGATGCCAATGAGAGTGAATCCAGACAAGGAAAATCTTGTGCCCTCAGCAACCTGGAGAGCAGCAGTGAGGGGTCGCACATCCCATCAGAGGAAGGCAGTAACACCCATGTTCACACAGGAATGGAAAGGGAAAAGGGTGACAGGGAGATCTGGGGACCTGGCCAAGAGCATCTCAGGGCACCCTGAGTAGTGAAAACACAGGAGTCCAGTTCCTGGCTTTAAACACAGTGTGGAGAAGCTCATGCTGATGTTCCTGTCATGCTGTCATGCACCAGTGACTGGCTCTCAGGATTGCATGCAAGCAGGAAAAATGGTGAAGGCCTCACCACCCTCGTATCAAGCACAAACCCAGAGGAAGCTCATGGGGGTTCTGTGGCTCATTGCCCCGTGCTGGGGACAACCTCAGCACTGCGCACTCACCAGGGATGCAAGGTTCCCTGGGGCTGGTCTTCCTCTTACTCATCCTCATCCAAGTTCTACTTTTACTGCAAAGAGCTACCCCCTGGTCACAGAATTGCTGCTACCATGAGATCTACTGCTGTTTTCTGCTCTGGCTGTACCTCTGCTTCATCTCCCAAAGACTTTTCATGTTATGCTTCTTCCCCTCCAGTCCATCAGGACACACGGTGGCAAGAGAGGCACAGAGCACCACACCAGCCAAGCCTGGAGTCCGAGCACACACATCCCAACCAACCCAGCCCTAGAACTGCAATCAGACCTTTAAAGAGGTTAATAACAAATGTTTATTTTTTTCCTTTAATAAAGAGCAGGGTGCAACCATCCCGCTGTTAACGGAGTGACTTCATATTCATCTACAAAATTGTTCTCTCTGCTTTGTTTTAAAGGTAAGACAACCTTACACAATGCATTTCTCTAATTCCTTTCATCTCAAAAGTGCTTCACAAAGTGACACTGAGGGAGGTTGAGGGGAGGGGGGAAGAAAATCCCACAAACCAAAACATCTCCTACACAGAGAGATCATCTCATTCCCAGCGCTGCAACGCAGCCACGTCTGTTGTGCAACGTAGCAGTTAACGGCACAGGATGACACATGGACACCAAAAGGTGGGGAAGGGAGAACAGATACAAGGAGAAACTGCCAGGGATGGAATTTACCTGAGCTGAAATCTGCAGCTGGGGACAGACATTTCTATTTTGTCCTCTGGAAAAGCTGATATCAAATCGCCACAAGCCTGCAGACACCAAAGAGATGCAGGTTTATCACTAGCTCAAGACCCAGCCGGACTCTGGATGTATATTTCTGGCTTTTACTCCACATTTGGAACACGTTCCTTTGGTGAAAAGTAGATGTACTCGCTCATCTGGGGAGGGTGAGCAGCGTGAGCTCCCACTGTGGGAAATAAAAGCACAACTGGGATGTTACAACAACCTGGACTTATAGGTCAGCCCTTTCTGAGCTGGATTCCAAGCTCGTATGCATTGTCAGGAACGTGTTCTCCCAGCTCTGGGGATGACAACTCATGTTTCACACTGCTCCTAACCCTTGGCAAACAATACCATGTGCCACTATAGCTACAAGGAAAGGAGTCCCCTGAGGAGCAACTCGGCAGCGTATCGTGAGTGTGCTCAGTGACAGGAAAGCTTGTGCTCACAGGAGTCTTCTACAGGAAGGTTCTCCCAGATCTGCAGTAAAGATGTCCTTGCATGAGGTTCCAAACCAAACTTTTGCCTTCCCTGTCTGTTCCACCCTCCCCTAGTCAAAACCACAGCAGCTCAGTTAGTTTTCTTCCGCGGACGATAACAGAGTTCCTACTGCAGCATCTCTCAGGAGGGGATGAAACTTCATGGAGCTGGTTCTGGGCACCAACTTGCTGAGATGGGAGTTAGATGGCAGAGAGACAGGGCGACGTGCCAGTCAAAAGCGCAGAAATGCCAGGTGAGATGAAGACCCCAGGTTGGGTGCTGGCTGAGCTGATTCCAGAGTCACTGAAAAAAAGGCTAAATTGGCTACAAAACACTGTCATGGCTTTTGCACAGTTCTGTACTGACAAACCTGGGCCTGAGCTCAAGCTATAGTGGGCTTCCATGTTCCAACAGCTTTAGTGACACCCTTCCCAGCACATTTTGAGGTGTACAGGAACCTTGGCCACATCCCTCACACGTGCACACAAAAATGTCTCAAGCATCCTTATTGGGGATTGCAGCCCAGGAGAATCTGGGTTTCCCAGTGGATGTGCATCTCTAGGTCTGATGTAATACTGGGAAGGAAGTCTCAGGGCCTCAAGGCTGTGCCCACCCCAGGCATGATCCTTCTGAAGATATAAAGAATCCAGCCTGGGACCACAGTTTCTATCTAAACGGTGGGACCAGTCCTACCCAAAGCTCCTCCAGAGCAGGACCAGCTCAGAGGCATGTTTGTGGGTGAGGTTTGTATCTAAGAGCACCATGGGGGACTTCTGCACCATGGACTGTCACAGACCACCGCACGTCAAGGTCCACGTCGGCCTGTGACAACGGCAGCAGATTCTCTAGACCAGGAGAAAACATCCTGCAGCCAAGCTGTGGCCAGCTGTGAGTTATGTGATTTCCCCACTTGCTTTCTTCTGCTGAAGGCCCCAGGTGCACAGCTCCTGCCTCTGCTCCAGCCATTCCCCCAGCCTGGATTACCCAACACCAAATTGCAAGCTAAAACCAGAAACAAATCCCTCTTTGTGACTCAGTTGGCAGAAAGCTTCTCTTGCGGGCTCCTTTAAAAGGAGCAAGGAAGTACTTGGAAACAGGCTGTTCATGGCTCTCCGAAAGATTATTGTGTGCTGCTGGCATTTACTGGCCCATCAGGGGAGCAAGTGGCCAGCAGGACTGGGCACAGCACCCTCCACCCCAAAAGGAGGGGGACAGATGGACAGACAGCCAGCATCTGTCCTGAAAGACTTGCCTACAAAGAAGGTCCAGGAGTCCTGCCTTGCACGGGGCCGGCCTCAGGCTATGCCAAAGCAGACTGCATATAAAACCAAAAGTTTTAAAATAAAAAATAAATGGATATACAACTGCATATAGGAGACTCCACAGAGGACAGTCCGTAGACAGTCACCCCAAAGTGGCCAGGGCCAGCCCGGCTCTGAGGGGGTGGCTTGGAAGCTGAATTCCAGTCACAGTTGGAGATGTGGGACAGCTGAAGGTGGAACTTGTGCTTCTTGCTCCTTGCTCAGCTTCAGGCAGGGCAGAGGGAGGGCAGGGAGGCAGTAAGGCCCACTGCAGGAGAGGCATGGTGTTCATCTGTTTGGAGACTGCGTTTGACAAGCTGTTCCTACAGGAGCTGTTTTCTTCCATGTCCAGGCCTCTGCTTACATCTCACTGGGATAAAACCCCAGTTTGGCCAGAGACATCTCTCTCCGGAGCCGCATGACCTCCCAGTACATCAGCTCCACTGCAAAGCAAAAAGGGTGCAGGGAAGGGAAGAGGAAAAAAAAAAGACACCAAAAATCAGTAAGCAAGGTACAGCTGGATACTACCTCATGTTCTGCTGTGCTCTCAGTGCAGCCCAGCCTGGCTCATCCCCAGAGTGAGGGACGCAGAGGACAGGCCCATCAGGTCACCCCTTACCAACCCCACCCCAGGGCAAAGAATCATAGAATTCATAGAATGGTTAAAGTTGGAAGGGACCTTAAAGATCATCCAGTTCCAACCCTGTTGCCCTGGGCAGGGACACCTCCCACCAGACCAGGTTGCTCAAAGCCCCATCCAGCCTGGCCTTGAACACCTCCAGGGATGGGGCATCCACAACTTCTCTGGGTAACAGAGAAGCACCCAACAAGCTGATGAGCAAGGAATACCTGCATCTATTCCTCCTGCTCTTGCCTTTCTTTTATCACTGAACTGGTTCTCAAAGAGTTCAGGGTACCCCAAGCTGGTCCCATTCCTGTCACGCTGAACAGGACCCCTGAATTCCTCCCCGTGGCCCACAGAAGGCAACCCCCCACCCCCAGCCAGCTCCTATCCCATCTTACCGTCCTGCCTCACCAAGCCCTGCTGGATGTAACGGATGTATGTGAAAAAGTTGCACACAGCTGTGATCTGAAGGAGAGAGGGAAAAAAGAGGAAAAAAAAAAGAAAAAAAAAAAAAAAGGAGTCAGCTACAGAACTGCTTTGCCTGTCCAGAGGCTTTGACAGCACCCAGCAGGGGAGCTCTTAGTGATGAGCACCTGAGAAATAGCCCCACATATTACCAGATAAAGAGAGATGGGAAGAAAGCTGATTAAAAATAAAAAATAAAATTCTGGGCATCTACAATCCCATCCCAAGATGCTACACTATCCATGAGACACACTGTGGAAGAACTCCAACCTACTGCAGATTTGAGACATAAGCGATCACTACTTAATGTGGCAGCAAAGTCTGTGATCTTCCTTCAAAGAGCAGCGTTCTTCAACTGAATAAAAGTCTTTGGAGTTAAAGATTTATGCAGAAAGCATGTGTGCAGGAGGTAAAGGTGTTCATGGCACTGAAGGACTCAGTGTCATGAACAAGTGACAAAAATTAGTCAACTTAAGTCCATGGATGAAACCAACTTTTTTGTCTCAGAAAGAGTCACATGTTGCAGGATCAGCTCTTCTGCTATGTAACAACTCAGGAAAGCATAAACTTCTCAAATGCTCTGTTGAATCAGGGCCCCAACAACAACATTAACAAATCATTCACCTTCTCCCTTCCCTCCAAAGAAAGGACAACTTGTTCTCGTAACCATTTGAGTCACTGATCTGAACCGGAACAGTAACAGGAGCCAGCATTTAAAGAGCAGAAAATTACTGTGTTTTACAAAGGAGAATTAAAAAATAATAATAAGGCAAAACAATCAAAGCCCTGTACTGAAGCAAACCATGGAAAGCGAACACATTGAAGACAGGTTGCCTGAAGGAACATGAGGCAGAGCACCGGAGCTTGAGGCAGGGCTGCAGACCTGCACCAAGAGCCAGCTCGACTTAGGAATGAACTAAAGCCCCACTGGTCTCTGTCAGTTTGAGGGCTGACCCAAAAGCTCCTCTATCCCAGGGCTTGAGACAATTTTGGAGGGTCGAGGCACCCTGAGAAGGTGGAAGACTCACCCTGGCCCTGCAGGATGGTGAAATGTAGTAGTAATTCCCAGAATCCCCCAGCATGATGCGGTGCTTGCAGGTCCTGGGGAGGCCACTGAGAGCACATTTCCTGCAGGGAAAAGAAAAACACTTCAGCCTTCAACAATCGAGCAGCACAGCAGAACACAGCAATTCAACAACCTCAGGACTGTCCTCCCAAGAGGTGGAAGTGGGAGCTCAGAAGGCAGATGCTGCATCAGTTCAGCACGAAGAAGGAAAAAAAAAAAAAACACTTTGGCTGATATGAGTTTTTTTGCTCCTTGAAAGATCCCATAAACGGCAAGTTTAGGAGACCTTAGGCTAAATATCTGGAATCATGAATTATTCCATGCCCATTCCATACCCTTTTCCTGGCAGACAGCCCAAGTCCAAACCACAGAAAATATTAAAGAGGTGAGACTGGAGCAGAGTGTAACCAACATCATCTGGTCTCTGCACATCTCCTCCATGTTCCAGGCAAGGCTTTTCCTGAAGGAATCCTGCTCAGATGTATCAGCTTTCCCAATGGGATGCAAACATGCTGGTTGGGGACCAAACCTGGTTGCAAAACAGGTAAATCCAGCATTTGAGCAGATTTGCTCATGCCAAGAACTCAAAACAAGCCACGCTGCAGCCTTTACGCTACGCTCCTACTAATTAATTTGGGCCTGATTCGAAGCTACTCTAGTTGAAGCCACACAGATTGACTTTGTACTGACTTCAGGGGGCTCTGGATAAGGCTTGCATTTCCTAAGAATAAGGCAATCCCATCTTGTGCAGGCAGGGAAGAAGCCTGGCTTCACAACTGTAAGATTCCAGACTGAGTGAAGAAAATAGTCTTTCCAAGACAGCTCAGCTCCCAGGGAGACCACCAAGAGACATAATCAGCAAGGGTGCAGCATGTCTCTATTTTCTTGCCATTTCCTTCTGCTAATTGCAAGATTAATGTTCCCCAGCACCAGCCAGTTGCCCTTCCTTCATCCCCACTTAAAGCAGTAAAGCAGAGCTTTCCGCTGCATACTCATCACCACATTCCCTGGAGACTTGGTGCCTGTATGGTGGGAAGAGGGACAGAAAGAGCTGCAGAAAGTTGCTCTGTGTGGAAGGTGACAACACATGGAAGCAGATGTTTCAGAGAGATTCTGAGCATGTCTCTGTGCTTGCTTTCCACTGCTATCAAGGCAAATAGTAGCTAAGAGTAGAAGCATGGGCTGTAAGCGTTCAGGTGCAGTAAGAAGTGAGCATCACCAAAACATTAACACAACTTTCAGGATCAAATCCTCAGAAGGTGCAGGATGAGCCGATACCTTTGTAAATGAGGTACCTATAAGAGGTCCTAAATTTGAGCATTGCAGCTCACTGACAAAAAAGACTCCTGCTGGTCACTCTTGGCTTGGTTCACTTGGTGTAACTCCAGCTATCACAATGTAGCTAGAATAACCTAAACTGCAGCATTTGAAGACCTGCCCTTCAGTGCTCTACACATCCCAGGGCACTTTGCCAGACATGCCACCATGAAAACCAGTTGCCCTCAGCACCTCTTGGCCAGCATTTTGCTCTGATGGAATAAAGGCAATGTCACACAGTGGCCATCTCACTCCCTGCCTGTCTAGACTCCTCAAACTGCTCCACCGAGGTCCGTACAGTGCAGGTTCAGACAAGTAGGTCTGGTAGATCCCAGCTTGGGCAGGGACTCCAGTTTTCTCTTTTCTGGCCCACAGTATGTTCAAAGTTGCCATAAAAATCAGTAGTTTTTATCTGGGAAGCAAAGGGGAACAAATTCTTTTTGAGTCCTTTATTGCCAATAGCAAGATTCCTTACTGTCCTGTCTGGGTGGAAATTAAACAGGGTTAAAAAGTTAGCTTAGTTTTCAGCTCTGGCTTCAAAGCTGCTCAATTGCACCAAGTTAGTAACTTGTTAATGGATTAGAGATCTTTGATCACTGGCTAAAAAATAAATACTTCACTTACGTTACAATTTGTGACCGGAACCCACTGTGAAGACACAAAAAAAAATAAAAAATCAAAAGGAAACCAATAAGGATAAACACAGGATGGGTTGTTCTTGGAAAAGGCCTGACATATACTCATGGAACAATTTGCCTAGAAATGACAGAAAATGCAGAAGGGAGTGGCAGGAATCCTGCATGTGAGCAGCTTTTAACTGCTACAGCAACACCTTTGCTTAGAAGGTGCTCTGCTTGAAGGTCAGGGAGGGAAGAAGAAAGAGAAAGCCCTGACTGAACTTAAATTCAGTAGCTGAATAAAATCCCCTATCTTCATCCAGAGTATCACGTCACTCCTGTTAGTACTCCTCTTCTTTAGGCAACCTCAAGTTGTCTGTCACATCAGATACAGTCAACACAAGCTCTGGAGCACCACTAGTCCCAATTCTGATGGTAAGGTGACAGCATCAGGTTGGGAAGATGATACACAGCAAGAGGAGATCTTTTCTGACCTAGGCTCAAACCCACCTGGTGCACCAGCCAGGTCAGGAGTGTGGGGTGAACTCAAACCTCACAAGATGATGACATGGTTTAGTGATGATTTTTTATCAGAGTTAGGTTGATGGTTGGACTAGATGATCTTAAAGGTCCCTTCCAACCTAGACAATTCTATGATTCTCTGATTCTAAGATGCAAGAACATGAGATAATGCAGCTCTGACTTAATCCTTTCACCCTAAGTTATAGACAAACACACCTTCAGAGAACATTGAACAAGCTGCTACCTTAAGGGAAAAAAACAAACAACCAAACAAACCTGTTCCACTAACACACCACTAGGTTACAGTCAACTACAGTACCCCAGGTCACCTAAGATGATTCCCCTTCTCTTGAGCTGATCTACCACCAGTCATAGGGTAGGAGAACACTCAGCTGAGTCCTTTGAACTGTTCAACTCAACTGACTGAGCAAGACCTGGCCAAACTCCACTAGATGGTACAAAAAGACCAGCAGCAAGGAGAGGACAAGACAGCATAAAGCACAGTTCCTTACTTTGGGCCACCACACTCTTCTGTTGACACCTTCACCACCGGCAGTGCCTGGGAAGCAATGGGCTCAATGGTGAGTGTGTTCTGCTCCACAGCCACTCGCACCAGCTCCGACAGCTGTGGCAAAGAGAAACAAGTGCAGATATGAACATGCAAAGGTCACCTCTGTAAAGCTGCAACTATGGTTCTGCTACACTGTGCAGTTTTTGACCTCCTTTTCCAGCACTCACCTCCTGCTTTGTGAAGTCCAGACAAGGTCCTACATCTTCTCGATAAATTCTGTCCAGGAAGGAGCAGGATTTATCCAAAGTTGGAGATTCCTTCCAGGCCTGGAACTCAGCAAATAAAATGGAGTCGACCTGCAGCAAGTGTCCAAGAGGAATGGGAAGAAGGAAGGTGGGTGAGAGGGAGAGATACCATATCAGAAGGCGTTTGTAACTGTGCAGGTAATCTAACTACGAGACACCTGCACCTAGAAGGGCTTAGACATCACAACAGTGTCTGAGAGAAGTGGGCTTGCTCCAAGGATCTTTCATCTCTCACCCATCAGCAGATGGCTTATCCTGCCAGAAACCTGCAGCTCTCTATCCCACATTCCTCCAGGACACCTCTGCTGCAGGAAAGCCACCACACAACCACTGAACAGACCAAGTGCCCACTCAGCCCATGGCAGGAATGATGAGAGCAGCTGAATGGCAAAGCACAGTGACAATGGCACCCAGGAGGCAGAACTCTTCTGTAAGGAAAGAATTGCTACAGAAAACAATTAATTGGAAAAAGCTATTAATAAAGAGCCACCCGCAGGACTACACTCAGTGAGCCCAAGTAGGAGCTCAAGGGTATGCCAGCCCTTTAAAGACCACTCCAAGCCCAGAACTCTAGTGTTTGGGGAGTCACAGAAGTAATGGGAACACTGGGCAGGCACACAGGCCTGCAGAGGGAAGCTGAGTGTAGGAAAGGAGGTCTCTAAAAGGGAATTCAAAGACTAGGAATAACTTTCCCATTCTAATGTCTGCTCGTTGCCTTTTACAATAATTATCACTCCCAAAACAGAGCTTGTTCTTGTCTCCTGACCCAGCAGGAAGGTCGTTGCCTCCATCTCTGCCTGGTTGAAAATACTTCAGTCCTGGAGACGCTCTGGGACCTGGTGTTTAAACCCCAGATGGATCATTAGCCAAACCACCAACCTGACTGACAGGGCACCTCCTTAAAAGGCCAGCAAATCCCGTTAAAGCTGCTGAAAGGAAAAACAAACCTAAAGAAACCCTGCTGAGCAACACAAAGAACATGAGTGAACAAAGCTGAAAGAGGTCTGGACTCCAGCATGCTTGCTACGGACACAGCTCACCTGCTACCAGGAAGCACCTTCAGAGCCACAAGATGGGCAAAAAAAACCAAACATGAAAAAAAAAACATGAGAAACAAAAAAAAAAAATAATATGGAAGTTAGCATACAAGGAAGCTAGAACTGAAAGGTTGGAAGCGTGAGAGGGAGATGGGTTGGTCCCACCCTTCCCTGATGCTGTCCAGAAAGGTTACCTGCCGTGAGGATGAGGAAGCATCTGCCCCCAAGGCCTGCCAGCTCGGTTCATAGGTGATGTGGAGAGCCTTCCCAGGGATGATACAAAGGAGCAGAGAGAGGAGAGCAGGTAACCCAGACTTTGAGGACAGAGAGTGAAGGAAAAGGTTTAGAGAGACAGGCAAGAAAGGGAGGTAAAAAAAACCTGAGACAAAATAGAAGACATAAGGAAAGGCTCAAGCCCTCCCTTGCAGGGAACTAAGGGTGCTGCTCAAGGTATCACAGGGCCACAAGCCACACCTTTTGACTTCAGCTTGAGGTGCAAAAAGGAAACAAAAATTCTGTCATTTTTAGGCTCAATTTAAGATAGGGCACTTATTTTTCCATAGAGCACCAAGCACCAAGCACCAACTCTCCCTTTTATCACCTCTCACACAGGCCACTAAGGAATTTGAGAGACGGAAATGAACAAGTTAACAAAAAAACACCCCGCCCTTGATATATAAAATTATTAGTTCCTGTAGCCCTGGGACTTTAAGCCCTGGGATATCTGCACCATGTGGAAGCTACCTACACAAAGAAATGACAGGTCCAAATATTTAACAAGCAAGTCACTTACAAGAGCTAGGACTTCTCTACAGATTGTCAACAGGAGTTTTGCTGAGACTGAGCCAAGAACAGCAAAACGAACTCCCCAGTAGGCAAAAGTTATCCCTGCTGACTGTAGAGGGCAACTTCTACAAGGTAGTCAGTGGTTCACTGAGTTGGGCTCTTGGTTTGGAGCTCCTCTGTTCTGATTGGAGGAACAGTCAGCACTGGGAGAGGCCACAGGACCTTAAAAAGATTAAACCTTTTTCTTCCTGGTCCTCAAAGTAGCTTCCAGCTGACTGCATTTTACTCCAACATCCGGCAAATCTGGACTGTTCCCTACTTGACCAAGAGAAACCAGTGGATCAGGCCTTCACAGTTACTGAAGTGATTTTTTCCTTTGGCTTTCTCTCTGATATAGGCTTTGTTCCCCTCTGCCTGTGAACAGAGTTAAAGATCTTCATCCCTCACTGCTCTACTGCGGTCCCAGGAGAATGGCTACAACCAATGTTGCCTGAAGCATTTCACCCAAACTCTAGCAACAAGAGCACATTCATTGAATCTGCTGCCAAAAGCAGGGGTTACCAGTGTTCCCAGCACAGTCCTGTTTGGTCAGAGTATTAATTTCACAAGTGGCCCTTGTGCATACGTTCTCACACAAGCCAAGTGACCAGGTGCCTTCATGTTCCCTCAACAATTCTTCATGACAGAGGCCACAGGTCCCCCAAAAAAATCACTAGGGAGACATATTGTCCCACCACACACACTCTCACTCATTTTCATTCTTCCTGACCAAGTGCCATAAGCTGCCTCCTTTTTGCTCCCCAGGACAGCTGTGTACACATCTGGCTACGGGAAAGTTCCCAGATGAAACCCACCCACCCATGGTCACAACAGGTGGGGGGGTCTATCAAAGGATCACCCAAGGGAATTATTAAATAGGGTTTGTTGGAAAGACACTAAAAAATGCTTTGTACGGTTCTCTGCCCAGTTCCTTCCAGTAAGGAAGGAACTAAATATAATTACATATATGCTCTGCAAAGAAGAGCAAATACCCAAGAACACAGAATGAGTGACAGAGACTACAAGTTGATGGAAGTGTCCTGGTGTCCAAGCCAAACTAGACAAAGAGAAGAACCAACAGCAAATCACCCCAGAGCAGGCAGTGGACTCATCTACCAAGATGCAGCAGAACTGGCTTCTGCTCAGCAGCTCCTGACATACCCACTCTCAGCACTGGTAGCTCCTGGATCTGTCCATGCCCTCCAGGGATCCCTCAACCACTTCCTCTAGCAGATGTCCTGATGCAACCTCGAACACGCTTCCCAGAAGGGGAAATCTCCACAAACAGAAACCCTCCAGAGTTTGCCTCAGCACAAATTTAGGGAACAAGCCAGATTACTGCACAGGCAGCTTCTCCCAACACTGAAACCACAGAGCTCTCCAGGAAGCCTCAGTCAGAAGCCGCACGGCTCCCTGATCACAGTGACAGCGGTGGCTCCAAGGCTGATGCAGGGAATGGCCCTCACCCACCTCTTTGCGCTCATGACTGACTGGCTCTGGAGTCACATTCTGGCTGGCAGCTGAGACCATGGCGCTGCTGGTGCTCTTGTTTCGCCCATGGCCCTTCCTGAAGACAGCTTTAGAAGGGCTCTGGAGCTGAGGGTGCAGCTCCCGGTTTGGAGAGGAAGGTGTGGATGTGATCACCAGCGTCTTCAGGGCTGTTACCTCTGCCTGCAGCATGTCGATCTAAGGAGACAAGTCAACAGCACCTTCAGCACTTGCTGACCTCAAGCTCACTGCACCCCACCAAACACCAAAGCCACAGGGAACCAGTTACAAGCCCAGTCATGAAGCCTTCTCCCCTTTTTCCCAAATGCCCACCATCACCCAGAATTTCAAACTGGACTAAACAGTAGCTATTTGGGAACCCATCCCTCTGTTCTCCTCAGTCTGAGCACATTTTGCTCCGGGCTCTTTTTAGACCAAATAACCCAGAAGAAACGTCTCTCTCCTCGAGAAGGAACCAGTTGAGCAGCCCTGTGGTGCAGCCTTGTCAGGAAATTCCAACTCCCCAGCTCCCTGCTCTAATTGTCCCCACAGCTGTGGCAATTAAATATCATATCACTTCCAGCATCCGTGTCCCAAAGGGGAGCTGGATCTTACAGACTGCAAGGATGCCTTTTCCCCCTCAGTCAGTGTCTGCTGGAGAGGGAACAGAGTAAACGCAGCATCTCAGAGAGACTGAGCTGCAGGTGATTTACTCTCCTCCAGCCACCAAACAGCACCATGGCCAGGCTGGGCCGGGATGCCACCAACCTAGCACTGAGATCCAAGTCAGAGAGAGCGTGGTTCTCACCTTTCCCCGTGCCTCCCTCAGCTGTTTCTCTGACGCCGCCTGTTTAGTGTTTGCTTCTCTCACCATCTTGTGCGCTTCCTGGACCAAGAGAGAATTTTAGTCTGCCTGTTTCAGTCCCAACTCGTAAAGCCACCAGGGCAGGCCAAAGCTCTGCCGTTATCACATGCTCTGAGCAAGAAAGCAGGGGGACAGACAGCACTGCCACATGCAAGGGTTTTACTCTATCAGCCATGAAGAGTTTCCCAGAATTTCCTAGAGAAAGCTCTCAGTGCCAGAGCCTGGAGTGCATCCCCCTTCTAGGAGTGTCGTTGGCTAAATGAAAGAGTTTTCCTGGCTGAGTCCAAGGTCATCTCTTTCACTGATATGGGCTGCTGTGAACAAAGCCAGAAGCAAGGGCCTGCCCTTCCCTGCCCTTGGGAATTGCTTTAAAGCTGAGGCTTTTCACATTAGCACCCACCTGAGCCACATCACAGCCGTGTAGAAGCTATGTCTGCACCCAGTCCAATACCTCTGCCACTTTGACCTTGACTCAGAGTCACTAGCATGGCTTCTTCACTTAACCTCAGGCCTGCGCTGTCGCTGCAGACTTGCTGGTTGATCACTGGACTGTTTTCTGCCCCTGATTGCCATCTGCGGCAGAGATCCTGATCCAGACTTGCTGCTCCACGTCTTGGCTCCTGGCTGCTGAGGTCACTGCTCTTGCCTGACTTGTTATTGCACTTTGCTCCCACTTCCTGTGCGGAGCGGCCAGCCCTCGCTGCTCCGGGCATGTCTGCAACGCAGCAGGAGCTGTAGCTCAGGTGGGGGCCAAATGGTAAGAGACCAACTTAAAAGCATCTCCCACAGACCAGCTGGGGCCTCCCTGCAGCACTGTCTGGCAGCACTCTGTCCCAGGCCACCAAAGGAAGCCCTCAGCTGCATTACCTCTAAATTCACCCCGAGCCCAGGCAGCCAAATCTCCAGGAGGGGGGATGCTCTCTTGGCTCTCACACTCAGCATCAGCCTGTGTTTCAAAGGTACAGACGGGCTCTGGCTTTCCTCACTGCCCAGTCAGATCCAGACATTAGAGCTGCTGGTAAATGGGATTTTGCCAGGATAGAGCTTGGCAAGAATCACGTTACAGAAGAAAAAAAAACAAACAACAGGCCTTCTGAACTGGTGCAGAGTATATGAGGACATCCAGCTTGTTCCCACCCGGCCCAAGGGCTGACATGGGCCAGGAAATCATCTCTATTACCCAGCAGCTGCTGCCCAGATTACAGAGCAGGCATGGGAGAGGGATAGGGAGTTAATGCTCAGCTCCAGGCAACCCCACATGTGTTTTTGCTACCAGATGTACAGCCCCATAACTGCCGTGCTCTTTATGCCACCCCACAGCTGGTAGAAGGGGGAAAGAAATGCACGCAAATGCCCCCCCAGGAGCAGGTACAAGCCCCTGCTCTGAGGCTCTGCCTGCAGCACTGCCCAGCACTGCTCCAAGTGGGAAAGAACAACAGGGGAAATGAGGAAACTGGGGGAGGAGATGGCTGGAAGTTCAGGGAAAGCCTGTCTTAAAGCAGTTGGATGTCAGCTTAGCTTAAGAAATGATGGGAAAAGGAAGAGGGTGGTACCTCAAATAGGCTGGCTGTTAACTCCTCTAGTTCCTGCTCCAGTTGTTCTCTGACTTTGGACAATCTCTCACATTCTTTGTCCTTCAGCTTCAGCTCCTGTTGAGGAAAGGGAGAGGGATGCATGAGCTCACTGCTGGCCCCAGCAGTGCTGACACCTGCCTGCCCCCACTTCTCAACCACAACCCTTCCTCCCCACGATGGTGTGCATCCCCAACCCAAGACTCCTGTCGCTAAACTCTGTACCACACTCTGTGTCACCAAAGGTGTCCCTCCACAAGTTGCAGCACACTTTTCTGGCTGGAATTGCTCGTTTGCCATTAGCAGGAGGCTTCATAGTAAGCACTGCCTGCCTCAAGCTGCTTTCCAGCAGGTTTCCGGGACTAATTTGGATGTTGGCATGGAGGTTTTGGAGGTTATGACCACCTCAGCTCAATCTTCACAGAATGATATGGGCCTGGAAGGGACCTCTGGAGATCATCTAGTCCAGCCCTCTTCCCAAAGCAGGTCCACCTAGAGTAGGTTGCACAGGAACATGTCCAGGGAGGTTTAAATGTCTCCAGATACAGAGACCCCACCACCTCTCTGGGCAGCCTCTTCCAGGGCTCTGCCACTCTCAAAGGAAAGAAGTTCCTCCTCATGTTTAGGTGGAACTTCTTATGGTCCAGTTTGTGCCCATTTCCTCTTGTCCTGTCCCTGGGCACCACTGAAAAAAGACTGGCCCCATCCTCCTGACACCCACCCTTAAAGTATTTGTAGGTGTTGATCAGTTCACACCTCAGTCTTCTCTTCTCCAGACTAAAAAGAACCAAGTCCCTCAGCCTTTCCTCAGCAGAAAGATGTTCTAGTCCCCTAATCATCTTCATAGCCCTAATCTTGCTCCTCTTCTGCTTGCTCCAAGCTCTGGCATGGCCACATTCAGACCCTGCAGCCCTCAGCACCACCTCTAGAAAAAACCCCACTGCTCAAATCTGTGCCACCATCCTCAGGTGTTCTCACAAGCTCTGGCTCTTACCTTTTGTGCTTTGTGCAGCTCTTCCTTCAGGAATTCAGACCCCTTTTCACGGATCTCCACCGAAGAGCTGCGTAGACGTGACACGTTGAGCTGCTCAGTGGACTGGGTCTCATCCACACCTTCAGCATCCTGGCATGCAGTCTCTGGCTCCTCCTTGCTGCCTTTGGATGGCATTAGTGTCTTCCAGTGTCCCACAGCGGGTTGCTTCTGGCTCTCTTCCTCAAAATTGGCCTGGCTGTGGGATACCAGCACAGTGAAACTTTATATTTTGATAAATATGGTGGGGGACAATTCACAGTCTTCCTCTAACACTCGCAACACATCCAACCTCCAGCCTCTCCCAGGCACTGAAGTGAGGCAGGGAGGGTGATGGGGTATGAAGAACAGGTCCTGCTTTGTGCCCAGCAGCACCAGTTCCTTTACCCAGCATGCAGGCACTGCCTCCCTATTGAAGTGCTTCACCCTTTTGGCATGGATTGCTTCCAGAGCAGCAACAAAGGAGGAGATGACAGTCTAAAATAAAAACTTTGGGGGAAATCTCCACTCCTGTCCTGGGATCTTTAAGGATGGCACCAAATCTAGTTTGAGATGCCCAGCCTGCACCCTTCTGAAGAAGGGCTGGTTTCTCAACAGCGAGTGATCCCTTCACAGACAACTCTGGACACACAAATCTTAGTGGGCAAAGCAATGCTATTAGTAAATCCCATCTTCATCCTTCTCAAGCAACATGTCACAGGTACTATTAACTCAGGATAAAGCAGGAGAACTAAAGACAGCTGCTCCAGGAACTCCATTTTCACCTGTGAGAAACAGACTGCAGCTGGCTCATTCTGAACTCTAGTATATACCCAGTAGACCTAAATTCAGAGACACTGCTTCCCCAACTGAAGGAGTAGCAAGAAAAAAGCGAGTACAGCTCTCCCCTTCCCCAGAAATATACAGACCCTGATCCCCTTCACTGCAAACCCAGCCTTCCTCTTCCTCCCACCCCTGCTTCCGAGGGGAAAGACCTATTTTTAACTACTAGTTTCCCACCGAAGTCCTCCAAGGAACTGCCTAACACAGTGTATTTCCATTGAGCTGAAACGAAGCCCTATTTTTTTATTTTCAGTGGCGAGTAGAGATGTACTAGGAAGAGGGAACCAGAAGAATCACCCAGGACGCTGTTCCTCAGCGCTCAGCAGGACTTTGTCAACAGATTAACACAGACCCTGGAAGCGGCTGATGAATTTAGTAGGATTTGCAGCTGCTGGGGTCTCAGGAGAGGCAGACGTAGGCTTAAGTGGCTGCATGACAGGGTACTGCCATCAGAGCGTTACCTGGAGTACCTGCATCACCCCTTCTTCAGGCGTTGAACTGTCCTCACGCGGTCACTTGCCACGTGAAGTCGGTGGGAGTGCAATCAAGCCTTGCACACATGGAAGCTTTCTATCACGTCCAGCACACACCGTGCTACAGATTAACCTGCTGCCAGTTATCTCTGGGTCACGAGGCTCGGCTGAGCCCTGGCACTATCCTCTTCCACACACAGCACCAATCCCTCCTCCCGCACCCTCCTTCTTGCCCACCACCTTCTCCTGCAGAGAAGCTCTCGCCTTCTTTTGGTTAGGTTCGCTTTCTCTTCTTCTCTTTTCCTAATCTCTGTATTTTCCTCTCCTGAATTTGCCCTACCTCTTGTATTCCAGCCAGGCCACACTCTGACTCCAGCCTCATACTGGGCTTATCTCCTCAGCCACGTGCAGCTCAAAAGAGCCTTGTTCTCCTTCCTCTCACCCAAACACAAAAGGCAGTCAAACCATGAGGCCCAACTACTGACAGGCTGGCTTTTTTCTCCTCGGCTATGCCATGTGGCTACAGCGTGATGCTACCACCTTGGCTACTTAAATTGCTCCCTTTCTGCTCTCCCTCCCTCCCCCCCCCCCAAAAAGCTGCCCATGAGCAACAGTTGTCCAGAGTCATTTTCTAAAGAGAGGAAAAAAGCAGCAGCTACCAGGTAATTCAGCTCAGGCACACAGGAAAGCGTGTGGAAAAGTGCACATGGAAAGCACTCTGAACCCTTGGAAGATGAAGAGCACGAGACCATCGCCATGCCATGCCAACTAGACAACATTTTGACTACAGACCTGGGGACCTGGGGGGAGGGCACAGATTTTTCTGGATACCATAGATTTTTCTGGCCTCTCTGTTGAGCAAGAATGAGTGAAAGCAGCAGAAGGACCGGTCATAACAGTGCTAAGAAGGTTGGAAAAGATAGAAACGAACTGGTGTCCCACTGACTTCACCTGGTTTTACTGAGCATTGACTGGGAAGATCTAGAAAAGGCTCATCCTGGTGATACTACTTCACTTGGAAGTGTGGAAAATAACATAAAAGGGTGCGTTGGGGAAAGGGCAAGAAAATAAACATTAGTTTTGGCCAGAGGAAAAAGGACAGACAGTGCCGCCAAGCAAAGATAATTCATCTTGAGCTATTCAGCATGCTGGGACTGCTTGATAAAAAGAAATATGCACAAACATGGAGGGATACGCCTGAGCGAGCCACGACCAACAGGAACTCCCAGACCGGGCAGACTTCTACAGCTGGAGGTGTGAGAGAGCAAGTGTGAACTACATGGTGGTCAGAGAGAGCAGTGCCTGCTCCATCCAGTTAGGCTGCTCTGTTGGAACATTTGGCTAATCAGAGGAAAAGCAGAACTGCACAGGAGAAATAAAATGGTTTAGAAAGGTCAGTATTAGCTAACGTGGATCACTTACCTAAACAGTGACATTGCTAACAGGATGAGGAGGTCTCCAAAGGATCCAAACACTAAGAGAAGGGAGTGACCGAGCAAGAGAATGACCCAAAGGAAGGAATTAAATCCATTACAGGAAGGTGGGGACATAATGACATCAATTCATCCCAGAGATCAGGGGAGGTTCTCTGGAATGGATTTGCCACGGAGCAGGGGAAGCATGCCAGAGAGGTCTGTTCAACAGTTAAACAATTTCTCAGGTGGCACAGTAGAAGCCCTCTCTGCTGTGGACTTTTGAGACCAGACACAGTAAGTAGAGAACATGTCTCTCCAGGTTCTCCTGCATTAGAGAGGAAACACACTGATGGCCCCTGCCAGTCTCAGCACCTCCAGCTTCTGTGACCAGAAGGAAAAAAACCCAACAAACAGAGCATAGAGGAAAAGCTAGATTCAAAACCAAGCAGCTAGTGAAAAAAGAAGCAGCAAGGAAAAGGGATATTTCTACAGTCCACTGAACTACTAAGCCAATCTAACCCATACCTAACAGAAAGAAAAAAACTAGTGTTGTTTCTTTATGACTCTCCAGTTGTTTGTCTTGGGAGACTGGTATTCCAGAGTATTTTCACACACTATGGAAGAAAACTAGAGGTCACCAAAGAATGAAGCAGTCCCACTCACACTCTGTAATGCCAAGCGACCCAAAAAACTATCCTGAAAAATCATCCCATCTTCTATGACAGGATAGCACATTCTCCATCTGTGCAAACAGAATCCCCATGAAAGCCTTGGCTATACCAGCTTCTGCCCAGCCAAGCTCCATCTCCAGTGTCCAGCTGGGGCTTTGAAATACACCCCCCGAAACCAAAGGACCACACACACTTGCACTCTCCTGCTATCGCTGGTCTGACTGGTGGCTACCTTTCTCAGAAAAAACATATCGTATCCTCAAGGAGCCACGCTGCCACAAGAAATGCAAACTTATCCAAAAAACCAACAAACCTCAACACCCCACAACCTTCTAAAGTTGGATTCTGTAGAAAAAGCAAAAAAATGTGCAGGATCTGCACTTTTTTTCCAGCGGGCCCCACATGTTTCCTGCAGGGCCGATCCTGCAGGGCTATTTCCCATGCAAACAGCCCGTGGGTCTCTCCAGGTTAAACTCTTGCCCTGGGGTTTGTGAGGAGGAGGACACGACTTTTCCATCCCGACCAGGAGAGATGCCCGAGCGTCGCCGTTCTGCATCGCCACAAAGCAGCATCGGTCCCCAGCCCGTTCCACCAGCCTGCCAGCTCTTAAAAGCTTTTCCCGAGCATATGGTCTGTTCGATTGCAGTGTAAAGAACAGTTTGTCTTTCTTGTATTTGCCTCAGTCACCCGCTGTGCCCTTATGTCTGCGGGTTGCTGGTATGGTACCTCCTTATTCTGTCTCCTGGCTTGACTTCCATAGGACTGCACGCACAAACACAGAGCCCTGAGACCGGACTGAGCCCTGAGTTACTCGGCTGTGAGGGCGCAAGGTGTTAATAGCGATAAAACACCCAATAAACCCAGTGGAAGTCCGAGGGGAAAGGCAAACCCGATGGAACTCCAAAGGGAAACTCAGCCCCTCCGGGCTCCTCCCGGCCCTTGTCCCAGCACCCCGGGACGGCCAGGCTCGGGGGCAGCCTCCCTGCCTGCTCTGAGGGGGGTAAGTCCGGCCGCCACACACCGCAGCCCCACAGAGCCCGGCCGCCTCCCCCCGCCACCGGCCAGGCCCCTGCGTCCCGGTCGCCGCCTCACCGCCCGCAAGCCTTCCCCCACACACAGCCGGCGGGACCCGGGCTCCCGGACCTACCCCCGCAGCATAGCTGGGTCCCTCTGCCGCCGTCACCGCTGCTCAGGGAGGAGGCGGAGGAGCTCCCGCCGCCCCCATGCCCGGAGCCGGGACCGGGGGCCGGACGCTGCGGCACCGCCTGAGGGACGGGCTCGCGCCGCCCGCCGGCGGGGAGGAGGCGGGGGGGGGCACCACGTGACACCGGCGCGGCTCGAGCGCTAGGGGGCGCGCCTGCGCGCTGCCGCCCGGACGGGGCCCGGCGGGGAGAGGGCGCGATGGCGGCTGGTCGCTGTGAGGCCCGGTGACCGCCCTGAGGCCTTGCCGCCGCTATGGGGCCCCTGCCGCCGCGTCCCGGGTGGTGGAGCCGAGCCCGGCCCCTTTAGGGACCGACCCGGAGGCGTTCCGGTGGGCGCTGCTGCGCTGCGGCCCGGCGTCCCGTCCCCCTGGGCCGGTGGGATGGGTTTTGTGTTTTCCTCAGAGGGGCCGCTGCCCGAGCTGGAAATCACAACGGTCCCCCCCTTCTCAGGAATCAAACCGGGGCCGTTTGCAGAGCCGTGAGTCCATGGAAGGAGTTTGCAAGCCCTTGTGATGGGCCCAGGGGACAGACATTAGAAATGCAAACCTCAGAAGTGCTGTCTCTGTCCCTGTCCCGATTTGGGGCTGGCAGTGGCCGAGATGGGCGCTGCGGGGGTGAGTGAGGAGCCTTCCCCCCGAGCTGAGCCTGGGAGAGAGCCCCTGGAGCGATGCTGGTACAGGGGAGCAGGTTGTATGCGAGGGGGTGTCATCTCCATTTACAGCTGGAGGGGCCCTGGGAGAAGGTGTGTGCTCAGCCAGGGATTCAAACTGGTACCAGCAGCTGATACCACCCCTATGCTCCCCTTAACACCCTTACGCTCCCCATAACACCCCTACATTCCCTGTAAACACATCGTCCCTCCCTGGCACGGAGCCTGCCCTCAGACTCCTGCTGACACAGCTCTGAGCTCAGTGGGATGAGCTCAGCCTGGGATGTTGTTCCCGCTCGGAGCAGGACGGGATTAATATCTCTTTCAGTCATTTTACTTTTCAGTAAGGTCTCTTCTAACGCTAAGGAAAACTGCGCTTTTAGAAGACTCTAGCGTCTGAATTAGTGAAAATATTTACTTTATAGCCAGCTATGGTATGTGGGTTTCAAGGTCTCAGTGTTTTGGAGCTCACCAGGTGCAGGGCATGAGGAGGGTTAAGACCCGGGCGCTTGACCCAAACTGCCATCAGGATTATTTCATACCATGAACATCACGCTCAATATAAATTAGAAAGTTTGCTGAGGGCTTCGCTCTCTCCCTTGGTGGCTGCTGCCCCGAAAACTCCTTGTGCCAGAGCCCTGAGCCCTTCCCTTCCTCCCGAAGCCGCAGCGCTCGCAGGGTCCCACATGGGCTGTCCCTGCTGGGAGGGACCAGCTTCCTGGGATGGAACGGCCTGGGGATAGTCCTGGTGTATTTTATATCGATATCGGGATCAATATTGGGGTTTTTGATGTTATTAATGTTAATTATTTAGTCTTATTCTATTAAATCTATTTATATTTCAACTCTCTGGTTTCCTTGCTTTTCCCAATTCCCCTTCCCAGGTGGGGAGGGGTCATTGGGTGAGAGAATAATTGTCTGAACAACAATAAATTGTGGGTTCCTCAAACCATAACGGATGCAAATAAGTGATAATTTACATCAACATGAAAGGATGGAGGAAACCTGTCTGAGGGGAGAAATTACTGTTCTTGTTAGTGGTGGGCAACAGTGGGACTGGACCAGGATTCTTAAACTCGGCACCCGGGGAAAGCACTTGGGTTTCTGTACCCTTCCATGAGACGAGTGGGTCTCGTTGTCACTGAGCTTTGGACTTTGGATGCCGTGGCTCCAATTTTTAGCTAGCTCATCCTCGCACTGGCCATCTCCAGGAGGCTGAGGGAGCAGGGCAGTGCTCCCAGTAGATGACAGCAGTCATGTGGCCGCACTGATTTACAGTCCTGTCTGCGAAGCAGTGGGAACACGCCGTTCTCTGTCCACCCAATTCTCCTCCCTCCTGCATCACCTGTGCATGGAGGAGCCCCCTTTGCTCAGGGCACGCTCATCCTGAAAGCTTTTTCCTCTCTTGCTCTGCTCTGCTACAACAGAGGGGCAAAAAGGGTCAGCCCCAGGTGAAGACCGATCCACTCCACACTGAAGTCAAGAGGAGCTACGGTTCTAGAAAGTTCACAGTCTCATTGGGGCATTACCTACAGGCAGAGAGACAGCACTGTGGTGTTCCCACCTCCCCACGAAGTGCTCCAGGGAATGCAGAGCCTGTTGTCCCTGTCCCTGGGACATGTCTGGGGACAAAACCACTTCTGCTGTTACCACAGGCCTACAGCAGATCCCACAACCACCTCCCACCACCAGTTGACAGCACTACGATTTTGGTGACAGAGTATGTTTTCCAGATGGGTCCTTCCCCCATGTTTCCCATTGTGTCCTACCTTGCCATTGCCTTGGGCTTTCCTCCAGGTGGTGGCATCCCCTCCAAGCCTTCGCACACAGCAGCAGCTCCCTCCCTGGTCTCAGCTGCTCCATCCTCTGCCTCGCCACCAGACACAACACCACAGGCAGGCAAGTTAGACATGGTGATCCTTGTATCCATCACAGAGCACCACTGTAGGTCCTACACGGGGAGAAATTCCCTGTCCCAGCTTCTCCTGGGGGTCCATGTCATCTACAGCCCTGCCCTGTCTGGTGGCCAGGATCCACAGTGACAACAGATGCTGTCTCCATGCTCTGAAGTCTCGGAGCAAAGAGTCCAGGAGGTTTGTGTCGATGGCCGTAACCTTTGTTATCTTCAGGGAACTTTTGGGAGGAGGGGAAAGATCTCCAGCTTTGCCAGGCAGCACCAGAAGTAATTAGTCTTTGTAATTATTAACTCCCAAGGCCTGGCTGTTAGGGACGGAGGGTCCTCAGATTAGAAAGGTAGAACTTCCAGGATTCAACAAAGGCAGGAAGAAAGAGAACTGATAATGCAGACGGGAAGCATTAAGAGAGGATGTGCTGGGGATGCTGAATCCCAGCCCCTTGCAGAAATAACTGGTTACAAGATGTGAGTGGCGGGTGCTCCCCTTCACTCCCAGCCCCAAAGCTATTGAGGAAGCCTGGAGAGACCCTGAGATTCCTCCATAATCAGATGAATGGGCTGGGTCAGCAGAGCAAAACTTGGCCACTATCACTCCCGAGCTGCCTTGAAGCAGGAAAAGCTGCTGCCTTCTCCATCCCCTCTGCACAAGGCCAGCTGTCCCCCAGGCGTGTCCCAAAGTGTCCATCCATCAGTTGGAGAAACAAAAACCCAGCTCCCACCTCCAGTTTGAAAAGACAACAAACCACCAGACAACCTTAAAGTCTCGGTTCAGTCGGAAGCTCCAACCCAGCACCCTCGTCTCACACCATGGAAGTACTTTGCTCTCTCCCGCATTATTTCCCATCACATTTCATGGAATCTGAAAAAAAATCACTGACTTCTGGGCAACGAAGCGTCATAAAATCGACTTTGCCTCCCTGCAAGTCTCCCAGCAAGGCACAGACCTGTTGCAAAGGCCCTGACCTCCCTGCTGCCACAGGTGTTTTTAGTCACCCTTTCCCCTCCTGTATCTTCCCTGCTACCACTGCTCCTCCACTTGTACCCACTCACCCCCACTTCATCCCTCCTGCAGATCTACCTTGTCAAAATGCTGTTCCCCCTGCCTCTTCACCTTTTGTTTCTCATCCTCCCATCTCCTCCAGGCAAAGAAGCATCTTGCTAAGGCTTTCTGTTTCTTCTTGAGAGTCACATCCCTTGCTCCTCACAGCTCTTTCATGAAGGAAAGGATGCCCCAAGTCCTTCCTCCAGGTTTCTCAGACTCAGGGTTACACTTGTGGCACCCCATTGGGTCCTCCAACCCAGCTCTGCATCTCCGAGGTGTTTAGGAGCCTGAACACCTCCTCCAGCACCCCGAGCAGACCCCTGTCACTTCTGGAGACCCTCCACACCATTCTCCAGTGACCTCCTCTCAGCCCAGGCTCTGTGGAGACAGACACTGGTACACATCTACCAAGGAACCACCAGGGCAAAGCAGAGACTCCCATCTGGTGGGCTCTGTTTCTGGTGGTTCTAATTGCCTCCTCTGGACAAGAAGCTCTGCCTCCACATCATATCCTTCTTATTCCCTCCTGGAGCGCCCACACCTTTCTCTGAATGGATCATAAATGAAAAGTGAGACTCAAAATCCTGAGTTTGATTCAAACAAGGTGCAAGACCACCCAGCACAGATGCTTCCCAGCCATGGGAGAGGGTTCAAGCCTCCTCTGCTCATAGATTCAGATCCTACTACAATTTAAAAAAAAAAAAAAAAGGAAAAAGGCAAAGCAGAGACTCCCATCTGGTGGGCTCTGTTTCTGGTGGTTCTAATTGCCTCCTCTGGACAAGAAGCTCTGCCTCCACATCATATCCTTCTTATTCCCTCCTGGAGCGCCCACACCTTTCTCTGAATGGATCATAAATGAAAAGTGAGACTCAAAATCCTGAGTTTGATTCAAACAAGGTGCAAGACCACCCAGCACAGATGCTTCCCAGCCATGGGAGAGGGTTCAAGCCTCCTCTGCTCATAGATTCAGATCCTACTACAATTTAAAAAAAAAAAAAAAGGAAAAAGAAAAAAAAGAAGAAAAACCCAGACTCAGGCTGGAAAGGGAAGGAGAAACAGGGATTATCTTAGAGCTTGGAAAGCAGGACTACACCCCTGACCCAGCAAACCCAGACCGGATGTTATTGCCATGAAAATGAGAATGAAAACAAATGGCCTAAAACTCCAGGCTTCATCCACCCACTCCCTTCCCTCCCCTCCCTCTGGGCAGTCTCAGCCCCAGCTGCGCAGCACATTTGCTCAACCAGCTGGAAGGGCTTCAGCAAGGGTCCTCTGGGACCTCCGGGTCTAAGATCTCCGATTTCATGGAGGGGAATCTGCCTTGATCACCCAGCAAAGTGCAACCCTCGTTCCAGGGTGAAAAGAAAAGACTGGAAAAGCGTAATGCTCAGCTCCTGACTGAGGGCCAGGAGAGCAGGGGGGGGTCAGCAGTGCTCAGAGGGATGCTGCTGAGAGCAATCACACTGTGGCACTGAGCAGAGACTCACCAGAGACGCTGCTGTTTCTGCTGGTTCTCAGCTGGAGAGAGCTGACAGAGAGCAACCTCCTTGCTCCGCAGCATCCTTTGAAGGAAGGGTTCAGCCTGAACCCAGGAGAAGAGACACCAGACTGGAAAGGAAAAAGAGCAGCTGGGAAACTCAGAGGGAAAGGAGTGCTGTCCCTCAGCTTTTTAGGAAGACCATCCTTTCTGCTGGATAATTTGGTCACTGTTTATCCAACCAGAAACTTCTCGATCCTGCATCCCCACAACATCTGCAAGGAGGTCCCTAGAAGTGGTCCCTAGAAGTGACCAACATGTGGTCCTCCCTTTGGAACCTGATCCCCACCACGGGGGACCTCGCTAAGGGCTCTTTCCTCCTTTTCCTGTCTGTCCAAACTGAAATATGCAGCATCAGAGGGAGAGGGAGAGATATGTCACCTGGGCAACAATCTCTGATGTCTCCTGGGTAAAGACATATCTAGATGTGTCCAGGAGTGATGGCCAAAAATAATCCCAGTGAGGTACAGTCAGTCTGTCCATGTATCGAGTCTCTTGGCCAGGATTCCCAGGGATCCTGCAGTTTGATCCCTGCCATCCCAAATGGCTGTTTATACACACACACGTGCCAACTCCACCTCACAGGAGCCCAGTGTTACCAGATGGCTCTTGATTTGCCACAGAGCTGGAAAAAAAACATAGAGACACTTGTAAAAGGCAGTAGAGCTGACAGGGATGTGGCTTCTTCCACTAGAGCAGTAAGTTACTCCCTCCCTATGTCAGAACAGCACATAGTCCACAAGGAAATTAATTATTACACTGAGCTCGACTGCTACGTGAGGGGGGGCAGCACCCTCAGTGTGCCCCCAGGATGGTGCAGAATGAGTGATAGATCTCAAAAATAAGGGGAAGAAGGCTTGGGGGGTCACTGATGGTCACTGCATCCTCTTCAAACATTCATGCCCAGCTCAAACCTCAGAGTAAATCCTGTCTGTGCAAAACAGCACCCCCTCATGTACTTTCCTTGTCTCTTTTTTTTTTATATTATTATTATTTTAATTTATATTGTTTATTACATCAGATTCCAGGGAAGAATGTCAGTTTGAGAGGCACCCCTGATGCCAGCTGCCTCTGTGTCCGTCTCAGCACTGAAACTGGAGAAGGGAAAGGGACTTCACCAAGCTTTGGGACCCACGGCATCCTTCTGAGAGAAGCACTTATTATTCTCTGGGAGACAGCAAGGAGGGCACCAAGCCTTTCCCAGACAGCTGCAGCTAATTCAGCATGGAAATCAGACCTTTGGGATTCCCAAAGCAGGGATTCAATTCCCGTCACAGTAACTCAATCTCCGTATCTGTAAAATGGAGAAAAATCAGAATTATTCCAGAGCTGTGAGACTGAGGATGGATGTCAGCACCTCCTTACTTTCTCCTCTGCCAGGCTTTCAGACCGGCGTCTTCCTCAAGGCCTGCAAGGACTGAGGCCACAGGGGACATGAAAAGAGATACAAGCAGCGCCGCCACGCTGGTAGCCTCCGAGTTATTTACTTTCATATTAAATTCCACAAATATTTCGTGCTGTCCTAACAGCCACTCTGAACCGCACAAGCTGCCAGAGGAGCTACTCTCAGAGGAGGGCAGCAGAGTCCCCCAGATGCCAGCACATCCCTCCACAAAGAGCAGGACACGAGGTTTTGCGCGTTAGTCCCCAGGGGCACCTGAACAGCTCCAGCAAATGTCTCACCCAAATCATTTTTGTCCCCCTGCCACGTATGGGGATGAAGGCTCAGGCACCAAGACCCTCAGGAGCTGTCTCAGCCTGCCTGACCTTTAATTCCTTCTCTCTGGATCCCTTGCTGAAGGGGAGGACCAAACCGTGGAGTGGGACCCTTGTGTGGACCACCTTGCCTTCAGAGCGAGTCCACCTCCATGCTCTCCCAGCTTTTACCCCCATTCACAGAGCTCTTTAGTGTTTCAGGACATTGTCATGATCCTGAATCACTTGGGGACCCTGTCCCAACCTTGTAATCCTCATCAGGAGCAGCTACAACCTAGGAGCAAGGTTTCAGGGACCTCACAGCCCCATAACAGAGCAGATAACAAACCTAGTTCAGTACACCTCTCAGGGACAACACTGGCCCAGAGCCTCAGAAGAACTAGGGCATGCCACCTCCTGTCCCAGACAGATGCCACTCGCACAGGAGTGGCCACCCCAGGACCTGAACCAGCACCCCTGCCTCACTGCTTGCCTGGAGCAAGGACAGCTGAGGTCCTGGTGGATGCTTCTGTTTCCCCCTGAGCTGTCAGGTGCTGCTCATGACAGTAGACACAAAGCTACGTGCTCCTTCAGTCGGTTTGATGAGTTTCCTATGGTTGGGCCAGTGAGGCAACCCCATACTCACTAGCCTCTGGCCACTGATAAGAGCCCTTATCTAGTTCCACACCTTGAATATGAGGATCTCCCAGTGGCCCTCCACATGCCTCTGCTTCTCCTGCCAGGTCTGTATCTCAGACTGCAGAAGCCTCATGTTGCCTATTCTCTTCTGCATTGCCCACCCACCTATCCAGAGCAAGTCATCCCTCCAGGGCCAGGGTGTTCATCCAGGAAGGACCCTGGTAAGGTCAAGTGCTCCAGGTCCATCCCTTCCCCCTGCAATTATACCTGTTCTCCCAACACATAGTGTGGCAGCCTCCCAGATGTGGTAACTTACTCCCACCAGATGTGTGCCCGTGTCCTTCTGCATATCACAATCCAATACAGAGCAGCTTCTACCTGGAGACGTCAGATTGTAGAATCATAGAATGGTTTGAGTTGGAAGGGACCTTCAAGATCATCAAGTTCCAACCCCCCTTGGCCCCGGCAGGGACACCTCCCACCAGA